GAATTTGTTATCCTCAAAAATAGCCTGCTATACAGTATGTGCACTGAATGTATGCACACACACACAATGTCTTTATAAATGGGTGTGGTTATTTTATTTTTAGTTGTGGCAATGTATAAAGAAACCTGAAGCAATAAACCAATGGCCTGTGGGTAGATCTAGTCATGCAGGTGCAATTATTACAACTGGATCAGATCCTATGCTAGTGATAAGTGGTGGGTATGATAAGAAGAAAGATACATTAGATGATTGTTGGATCTTTAACACCACTTTACATTCTTGGATAAAGGTATGTTAGATATTATTAATAATTGATTTGTACAGTGAGATTCATGTAAATTTGTTAATTTATTTCTATTAACAGTTAGATGTACCTCACTCTGTTAGTAAAAGATATGGTCATTCTCTCTCAGTGTTCATTATGAGTCCTCGTTGTGTCTGGATAGTAACTGCTGGAGGATATTCAAGAGGGACATTAGTCACTAATCCTAACATTGTTATGTTAACTGAACTAGGTACAGGTCAGTGTATTAGCCACACCCTCCAATGAATACTATTATTTACCTAATTATAATTATTTCCTTTGATGTACTTAATGTTGCATTAGATTCACACCCTCTAATTAAAATTATTATTAATAATTAATATTGTATTTTAGTTACTAACAGTAAAGGAGAGTGGACAGTAGCTGATACATTAGATACCAATCGTATTAATAATGAAGAATACAAAAAAAAGTATCAGCAGCAACTACAGACAGGAAGAAGAATATGGTTGGATGAGTACCAGAAACCAAAAAAAGGAGATACAGTCGATATTGAGCAAACCATACAAGCTCTTATTCAGAGTCTTGAAGAGAAGGAGAGAGAAGCACAAGTTTATCGTCAACAATTGGAGCAGAAGGAAAGAGAAGAAGCAGAGAAAGATCAAGAAATAAGAAGATGTCGTCATCAGCTACAAGAGAAGGATAGGGAGCATCAGGTGGCACTGCAGGAGAAGGATAGGGAAAAACAGGAGGCATTATGGCAGAAGGACTTTGTGATATTTGAAAAGGATAGGGAGCTACAGGAGAAGGATAGGGAGCTACGTCAGTCTCAAGAGGCAGTTTATAGGCACCAGCAACAAGCACTTACTGATGATCACTGGGTTATTAATAAAGATGAGGTAACTTTGACAATGGAGGAGCTAGGAAGAGGATCTTATGCTGTTGTTACAGTTGGTATCTTTAGAGGTTTAAGAGTAGCTGTCAAGTCACTTCATAACATCATCATCTCAGATTTTAATCTAGCTCTCTTCTCCAGGGAAATGAGTATAGCATCACGAGTGCGTCATCCTAACCTGGTCCAGTTTATTGGTGCAACTACAGTGGGTAGTCCTCTCATCTTGACTGAGCTGATGAGCACTAGTCTCAATCAGGAACTTCGCAGAAACCGATTAACCAATCAAAAGATTCTGAGTATTGCTCAAGATGTAGCTTTAGGCCTCAACTACCTTCACCTGTTTAAGCCTCAGCCTATTATTCACAGAGATGTCAGCAGTCCTAACGTATTATTAAAGCCTTGCTCTGGACCTGCTGGTTATGAAGCTAAAGTAGCAGATTATGGTACAGCTAAATTGCAACAAGGGACTAGTACTGATACTGTTATGCCAGGCAATGCTGCATATGCTGCACCAGAAGCTCCTATTCCTGATCAACACAGTCCAGCAATGGATGTCTACAGTTACTTTGTTCTTCTTATGGAAATGACTTTACACTCTCATCCAGAAATGACGACAGCAGAGAGAGAAGTACAATCTGGTAGTGTCTCCTGGTCTGATATGAAGTCTCTTATACAAAGAGGACTTACTGCTAATCCTAGAGCTCGTCCTACTATGGTTCAAGTAATAGAGTCATTGAAAAGGATGGAGATTTAATTAATTGTTTGCATTTTGATATTCTATAATTATTCCTGCTGCCTTTTAGCTAGTTTTCTATTGTTTTAGTATATTTTGTGTTTCTATTTACATGTATATAGCCAACAATATAATTATTTTTCTGTCTTCTCTCATTGTTTTTGTTAGTTTTTGGTTTGGTGTCCTTGTTTTTGTTTATAAAAAATTAATACTTTTAAGCTTAAAATCTAAAACAAATTTTGGATTCCTAAAAATCCAATTTTTTATTTGAATCACCTATAAGACAGTGTACACAATAATAAGTATGTGTATTTGTATTCATTTAGTGCTAGTATTTCAATTTGTCTTTATATCCTGTACAATGTCATTGATCTTTCAATATACCATTGCATTGGTAAAGGAACAAATTTGAACTTTCAGTGTGTCATTGATCCTCTCATTTGACACTTCAGTATATTGTACTGCTTGACAATTCAAACAATAATAACTAGAAAAGATATTAAATTTGATTTGCATAGTTAACATCAGCCTCATGTAAATGTCATATAATATAGTAATGTCATTCTTTATCAGTAATTGTATATAATTAATTTATCAGTAATTGTATATAATGTGAAGTGTATGTGTTGGTGGCTTATTTAGGCTCATTATAGCATGAGCTATAAGACAGCTGCTATGCATGTAATTTACTATTACAATATTCAATCAAAATTTAAATATTTTTTTGAAATTAGCAAAAAATTAATAAATGAGTGTCTAAAGAGTAAAATAAGAGGAAGTGTTATTGTTTGTGTTTTTAAAAATTTCTTGCTTCTTTAGTATCGCACCACTTGACATTTCATCTTTATTGACACTTTAACCTATCAATGAAAATATTAAGATTTGCTATGAGTAGTTACTGTTAGTACAGTCTTGTTATATTCTTCTTGTATGTAGTAATAAATGTAAAATTTTTAAGTGATTCCGACTGAAAATTTTTGAGTTATGGAAAAATCAGTCCATTTTGAAAAATTACTCTGTACTATAGCCGCTATAGTACAGAGTAATTTTTCAAAATTGACTGATTTTTCCATAACTTAAAAATTTTCAGTTGGAATCACTTCAAACTTTCTACACAGCATAAGGACATCAATAATTATATATCAGAAAATGTAACAAAAAATTGATGGTGATATTGGAATTTTTGGAAAAAAGCATGAATTCTCATACAGCGCTAACAATGACATCTAAACGGCAACTTGTGCTGATTATAAATCAATCTCAGATCACAAAATGTCAAACTGAAACTCCACCACATTAAAGCATCATACACTATACAATATACAATGTACAAACCTCATAATGATAGTTCATACAAGTCAAGTCCCTCCAACAGCTATCACCTCTCATCTTTATCAAACCCTAAAGAAGGTTCCAATATTCAATCCCATCCTTTCTCTCACTTACAGCTCCAATCATAATGTGGAATATCATCCAGCGATTTCCCCAGACATTGGTCCAGCTTGTGGGCGTGTGACGTGGAAACTGGCTATAACTATAAACTGGAGATAAGAACATTGCAAAGAAACCCATTTCAAGTAACTGAGACTTCCAACCTACATGTACATGTACATGAATATCTAATAATGTACACACAATATACAATACACAATGAATATACTGTACCTACACATGTACAAGTATGCAAATAGTAAGTAAACATTAATTTAATTGAAATATAAATTAATAATGTTTACATTTTCTTTTTATGCATGATCAGTAAATATCACTTACAATATAATAACAATATATGATTATCTCCATACAAAGATACGTCCACCTCAGAACAGCAAGAGGAGGAGAAGAATGATCTGATGAACCTCTTCTCTCAGAAGAGGAAGATTTGAGTGAATCACAGCATTTTTATTGTCCTCCATCTTTTAAGGTGGAGCTATGGGCGTAGTCAAACCAGCCCCTCCCTGTTGTTTGGAATTTGCTGTGCTCTGCTTTTACTCCACCTCTTACTTTTACCTCTCCTTTTACCTTGTATACAATACTTAAACTAGTTTCAAATGGCTTCAAAACCATCACATTTCCCATTAGGTGAGTCAGATTATTTATAATACACTGATGTACATATTTTGTGTACAGATATTAGCAAGTTAAACTTTGTCTTACAAGTCTTGAAGCACTACAAATTTCCTGAAGCAAGATGGTTTAAATTTGGATTGAATCTTGGTCTGCTTCATCCTACACTGAAAGCTATTGAGTCAGCTAATAAGGAAGATCCTGCAAATTGCCTGATGGAGTGTTTAGCCAAGTGGTTGACTGAAGGCTCTGATCATACTCTTGTATGGCAGACACTGGCTAATTCACTCTGTGGAATGAATCTAATATCCATTTCTACTGATATTTGCAAAACAAGTAATAATGTTATTATCATGTTTTAGCATTTATATCTTTCATTTAGTGGCAGATCCTGTTAGTGAGATATTACAGTGTTATATTGGTAGACTAGCTCAAGTTGTTCTTACTGAGGAATCAGTTGATCTCTTGCATAC